GCTACGATTTAACGACCGCTTTTCCTGACAGATGGAACTCAAGATTGTTTCTTAACAGTGTTGGGACGCTATCCAGCAAGTAAGATGCCAACAAAGATTCACTGTGTTGATGTTGGCAAGAATCAAAGCAAATGCTCTTTTGAGATTATTTGTGACTAAGAACATAATTAATTAATAAAATAATAATTAATTAATTAATTAATGTTTTTAGAAATTAATTAATTAATTAGTTCAGTGTTTGTTTCCAATAATGGGATTTTCGTCCCAACTGTATGGGTAGGTAGGCAGTGTGTTGTAAACCTCCATCCCATTGAGTGATGAATAAAAAAATTTATGTTAAATGAAAATTTGGTTATTAATTTAGCACTTATCCTTCTGATTATTTTTTTTTTGATTATTTCAATTTTAAAATTCCAGCTGGATATTCGGTTAATTTATCGTCCAATTCCACCTGGCTATGTGATACCTCGTAGCATCCGCCACGTGAAATGCTGATTCGTTTTGGTTTCTCTAATTATTGGATAAATTACAAGGTATGATCAAAATTACGAAAAACTCCATCATGTTTGGATAATAACAATCACCCTGACCTCGACTATAAATTTTCTTACACGTCCATCTTTGACCTTGAGGTGTCAAATTTAGTAGAATCTTCTAGATTATATGGAATATTCTCAATTTTGTCCCCGTTTTATCAAATTCTACCATTTAAAATACCATGTCCCGATGGGAACCAGTATATATTTTGGGATGCGTTTCACCCGACCGAAGCTGTTAACGTCTTGTTTGGACGGATGGCTTTTAATGGAAACAAGAATGGGGTTTATCCCTTCAACGTACAAGAACTTGTTAGCCTTTGATCACACATCCAAACATTGCCTTAATTATTTCTGTGTGATTATCATATCAGCCTTCAAATTTTCATTTGTAGTTTGTGAGGGAAGAAGTCATGAGTTGTGGGAGCATTTATCCAGCAAATTATATATGTTGATTTGTCATTGTATTACAATTTTGAACCTTGTCTTAATTTTTAGCTTATAAACAACTTAAATTATATTATTAATCCTCTTTTGGAGAAAAAACTATAGTATTAATGGTATATTGTAATTATAATTCTTGTATAGACATGGATTATAACTTCTAAAAGCAAAATAAATAAATATGATATGCATCTACGAAGATCTGCAAACAAAATTTCAGTAGTTCAAATTAAATTTACGGTTTACGACATATTAAAATATTATAGATCCCTCTAAATCTTATGTTGCTATATATAATTTAGTATAGAGATGATTTTATATTTACTACTCCATTAATTATTCGTATTTTTTAAGGTACTACAATCAATTTTTATTTATATTTTATTGCAAGTCTATCCAAATTCAACTACAATCAACATGCATCACCAACTTATTATAGTATAATATATGAATATTATAAGCAATATATTTAATCCATGGAAATTTCAAATTCGACTTTATAAACAATTAAAACATGGAAAGTAATTTGTGAGTGTTAACGTAATAATCCCAATGTTACAATGCTAGTAATTAAATGTAATAAATAGAAATGATTTCCAATATCATCAACTACAAAAATAGTATACTCTTATCATATGATACGTATCATTAGAATTGTTACCAAAATATCCTGATCTTGGAAGGCAAATCAGTTTCATTTATACCTTCCCTTAAAAAAATACAATTTTTTTATTTTGAAAATATTTAAAAATATTTAAAAAAACCCTATATAAAGGCTTGTTCCCAAGTCTTGGGATACACACAATTCCTATTATCTTCAAAACCCATTATAAAATATAATTAAATAACAAAAAGAAAAAAAAAATTCAAGAAGATGAAGAACTTTTCTATGATCTCCATCATGTGTTTAGTAGCTGTTTTACTTGGTCTAATTATTCCATCTCTAGGTAAATAAATACTTTCGATTTTTATTTTTATTTTTTCTTAATTGCATTTAATACTTTTGATTTAATGATTTAATAATTTTATTTTATGTAGGAGAGTTGAAATATTGCCCAGGTCCAGATATAAAGAGGACACGTTCGTGTGGTGCACATGGATATGAAGCTTGTTTCTTTGCAGTGTTGGCACACTATCCAGCTAGCCTTAGGCCAAGAAATATTCGATGTGTTGATGTTGGCAAAAATCGAAGCAAATGCTCTTTTGAGATTCTTTGTGCTTAGCTCCATTTCAACAAAACATTATTTATTCATTAATGTTTTAAGAAATTAATTAATTTAGCGTTTGTTTCCAATAATGGGATTTTCGTCCCAACTTGTATGGGTTGGTAGGTAGTGTTTTGTTAACGTCCATCCCATTGAAAAATAAATTATGTTAAAGGATAATTTGGTTATTAATTTAGCACTTATACTATTCATTATTTCAATTTTAAAATTCCAGCTGGATATTCAGTTAATTTTACGAGTCTTTAAATCGTCCAATTCCTCCTGGCTATGTGATGCCCCACTAGCATCCGCCACGTGGACTGCTGATTCAGTTAGGGAAACCAATAAGGCCCGTGTCATGGATTTGGGGGAAAAAGGGGAAACATACTTTTCGAAATCGAATTAGGGTTGAGGAGATGGAGCAGAATGAATTGGGAATACTGTGTTGTTTTCGAAACGACAGCGTTCAGGACTCTATGGAGTTTGGGCTTGACACGGGTAAGGACATTATTAAAGATGGGCTTGGAATTAATACCAGTGGGATGAAGGGAAATGGGCCGCAGAGTGGAGCTGGGCTAGCTTCAGCATTTTGCAAAGGGGCGCGTATTATTTCACAAGCGCGTGAGGAGACAAAAGAAACAGATTACTGAGATTTGCATATCAGTAGGAGGACAACTCAAAGGGTTATGATAACTGACCTGACCCAAGCTGTAGATTGGAAGTTGGTTTCCACAGAGGCTGAATGTTGCATGATTCAAGAAAATGGGTTGATTGATCAGGTTAAGCAACCCTTAATTACTGAACTGCCACTGGAGTCTGAAGTGGAATTGCTCCTTGAGAAGTACAAGGATGTTTTTGCTGAACCAGAAGGGTTACCCCCAGTGAGGGGAGTTGAGCATCACATTATACTAAAAAATGATGCTATCCCTAAACATTTGCACCCTTACAGGTATTCTCATGCCTCTAAGGCAGAAATTGAGAAAATTGTACAGGAACTCCTCACAAATGGGACCATTAGGCACAGTCAAAGTCCTTTTGGCTCCCCAGTATTGTTGGTAAAGAAGAAGGACTCCACTTGGAGGATGTGTGTAGATTACAGGTATTTGAACACCATAACTGTCAAGCATGATTATCCAATACATGTGATTGAGGAATTATTGGATGAGTTGCATGGGGCCCAGTGGTTCACAAAGATGGATTTGAGATCTGGCTATTTTCAGATAAGGATGAGAGAAGAAGATGTATACAAAACAACTTTCAAGACCCATAATGGCCATTTTGAATTTTTGGTTATGCCATTTGGATTGTGCAATGCACCAGCCACTTTTCAGTCACCGATGAATCAGGTGTTTCAAACACAACTTAGAAAGTTTATATTGATGTTTTTTGATGACATTTTGGTTTATAGTAAGAGTTTGGAAGAGCATCTCCTTCACCTAGAAATCACATTGGACCTCTTAAGGCATCACACCTTTTTTGCTAAAAGGAGCAAATGCCAGTTTGAGCAGAAGTCCATAGAGTATTTGGGGCACATTATCAATTGTGAGGGAGTAGCTACTGACCCTGAGAAGATCAGATGGATGGTTGACTGGCCTAAATCATCCACACTTAAGGGACTTAGAGCATTTTTGGGTCTTACTGGATATTATAGAAAATTCATTAGAGGATATGGCATTATCAGTAAACCACTAACTCATATGCTAAGAAAGGGTGGGTTTCATTGGACTTCTATGTCTGAGGCCGCATTTAAACAATTGAAATGTGCAATGGTGACTTCACCTGTTCTAGTGTTGCCAGATTTTACTAAACCTTTTGTAGTGGAGACTGATGCTAGTTCCAAAGGTTTAGGAGCTGTGCTGATGCAGGAGGGGAAGCTTATTGCTTTCCTCAGCAAAGCTCTAAATCCCTGACATCAAAGCCTTTCTATTTATGAAAGGGAGTTCATGGCAGTGCTAATGGCCATCCAGAGGAGGCAACATTACTTGCAGGAACATCACTTTATTTTGAGGACAGATCAGCAGAGTATCAAGTATATTATGGAGCAAAAAATTACCACTGATTTGCAACAGAGGTAGATCACTAAGCTTTTAGGGTTGGATTATGAAATTCAATATAAGAATGGTGCTGAAAACAAGGTGGTTGATGCTTTGTCTAGGCAGGATCATGATGCACAAGTCTCTGCCCTCACTACTGTTGTATCGTAGTGGGTGACTGAGGTAATCAGCAGTTATGGAAAGGATGGTGAATTGAAAAAAATTCTAGCTGCCAAAGCCATTGACTCTGCTGCTTTTCCAGAGTATTCAGTTATTGGTGGGGTGTTGAGGAAAAGGCAAGATTTGTGTAGGGCACAATAGAGTTTTGAGAGACAAAATTTTACACAGTTTACATACTTTTGCCATAGGGGGTCATTCAGGGATACATGCCACTTACCAGAGGGTCAGTAATATTTTTCATTGGCCTGAACTAAAGGAGGATGTGATTCAGTTAGTCCAGAGTTGTGATGTCTGTAAACTGGCAAAACATGAGACCAACCCCTACCCTAGTTTACTTCAAACATTGGAAATTCCACAAGGGGCTTGGACACATATTTTTATGGATTTTATTGAGGGGTTACCTAAATCAGAAGGGAAGAATGTTATTTTGGTAGTGGACTAGTGGTAGACAGGTTCACTAAATATGCTCACTTCCTAGCCTTGTCTCATCCCTACTGTGCTTCTACTGTGGCCAAATTATTTTTGGATAACATTTTTAAATTGCATGGTCAGCCTGTCAGTGTAGTTACTGATAGAGATAGAGTTTTTACAAGCTCTTTTTAGATTGAGTTGTTCAAATTATTGGGTTCTAGGTTGGATATGACTTCAGCTTACCACCCCCAAAGTGATGGCCAGACAGAGAGGGTGAACCAATATCTGGAGACATACCTCAGGTGTTTTACTAGTCAACACCCTCATAGGTGGATTAAATGGCTATCACTAGCTGAATTCTGGTATAACACCAGTTACCATTCTAGGCTAAAGATGTCTCCTTTTAGGGCATTATATGGATACAATCCACCACAACTTTCCTTGAGCTCCTAACTAGAATTAGATTGCTCAAATCAAGCTGTGGTAGATATGGTTCAATAGAGGAACCAGGTGTTGAGATTGGTCAAAGACAATCTCCTGGAAGCACATAATTGAATGAAGGTGTATGCAGACAGAAAGAGGGTTGAACGAAGTTTTGAAGTTGGGGACAAAGTTTATTTAAAACTACAGCCATTCAGACAGACTTCAGTAGCACTTCGCAAGAACTATAAGCTATCAAATAAGTATTATGGTCCCTACACTATTTTATAAAAAATTGAACCAGTTGCTTATCGATTACAACTACCAGAAGGTGTCAAGATTCATGATGTGTTCCATGTTTCCCTACTCAAGAAAAAGCTTAGTTCGAAAATCTTACCCAGCCCGGTCTTACCTTTTACTGACAAGGAGGGGGCATTTGTGGTTACGCCAATGAAGGTCCTCGATTTCCGCACTGTTGAACGCGCTTCCACCCCCGTTCAACAGATACTGGTTCAATGTGACACGTTGTTCCCCGATGACGCAACTTGGGAGGATCTCACGGCCATTCTCAGCAAGTTTCCAACTTTCGATCCTTGGGGACAAGGATCATCTTCAGGCGGGGGTAATGTCATGGCCGATGCTGAATTGAAGAAATTGATTTGGGGGAAAAATGGGAAACATACTTTTCGAAATCGAATTAGGGTTGAGGAGATGGAGCATAATGAATTGGGGATACTGTGTTGTTTTCGAAACGACGTCGTTCAGGACTCTATGGAGTTTGGGCTTGAAACGGGTAAGAACATTATTAAAGATGGGCTTGAAATTAATACCAGTGGGCTGAAGGGAAATGGGTCGCAGAGTGGAGTTGGGCTAGCTTCAACATTTTGCAAAGGGGCGGGTATTATTTCACAAGCGCGTGAGGAGACAAAAGAAACAGATTACTGAGATTTGCAGATTAGTAAAAGGACAGTTGTCAGCTTTTTATTAGTAGCCAGTACTAAAATAATTTCATTTGTGCACCGTTAATATATGTATCAGAACTGGGAGTGAAAATTATTATGCAGAGTTTTATTCTATCTTCTTCATCTAATTCTCTCTCTCTCTCTCTCTCTTCTTGTTCACTACTTCACTGTTACATTGATAATTCTCCCTTAAATTACTCCATAACTAGAGAATCTTACGACCCGCATTATAGTTAATGGGCTGAGAAATAGACTTACAAAATTAACGGGCCCAGAAAATAAGGCACGATACATTGCATCACTTTCATATGTACAATAATAGCTTCATCAGAGAGTGTGGGATCTCTTAATTTATGATTCCGATGAAAAGAAAAAAAAAAAAAAAAAAGGGAAAATTAAATAATGGTCAATGGAACTGAAGCTTAGCCAATCTTCTCTTCCAACCGCCATTTTCACTTCCTCTTCCGCTTCTTCTCTCCACCATTTTCAGGTACTCAATTGAGTGTAAAGATGTTGATTTTTTCCTCTCAAATTCATACATTTTGTTGTTTCCTAAGAAATTAATGAAGATCTGAGCTGATAATTATACTGTGGGTTTATTTATACACAGCAATGGAAGCTTGAAATTGAAAGGATATCTCGGAAGGGGCAAGGCATGTTTAGCAAGGAAAGCGCAAACCATGTGATTAAAGAGTAATTAATAGATTTAATTTTTCATTTGTTTATACTAAATTATGTTTTGTAGCAAACCTAATTGAGTTGTTGTTGTTTGGAAATGATTTGTCCATTTTGCTTAATTGGGGTTTTTTTGTTGTTGTTACACACAGTGACAGAGGTGAAACCCTAACTTCCATTTCGAAGTTGTATGGAGTGTCGACTATTGAAAATTACTGTCTTTCTGCTGCTGCTAATAATAAGGAGATGGTTGATGTTGATTTGGTTTCCGATGGGCAAAATCGTAATAGCGCTCGAGTGGTGAGCCGCTTGATTAACTATTTCTTGATTGCTTATCAGGATGAAGACCTATGAACAAAATACAGTGATTCTAGCATAGATTATATTATTGAGAATTTTGTTCCGTGTTATATCTTTAAGCTTCTTAACTTTTAATGCCAGTACTTGATAAAATCTAGATTTTGAAGCAGGAATTAGTAGAATATTCTACATTAAATGGAATATTCTCAATTTTGTCTCCGTTTTATTTTATTCAATTCGAGCTTCAAATTTGAAGCATGATGTGTTTTTTGACTTGTATATATACTATGGTGCATTGGAAGCTACATTTTTGCGCAAAACGAGTACAAACTAGAGAACATTTCACGAAATCAAAAAGATTATGTTGAATTCAACACCATAAAGGGTAGATGTGTAGGAAGATTCATAGTTAAGGGGGCAGTTGTAATTAATCAAACATTAGAGATTTTTTCGTAATTTGACCGTACTTCAAGTAGGTATTTGTAATTTACCCCTAGTTATTTGGATAATCAGTCTTGGAACAATAAGGCCCACATATATAGTTTTAAATTATATTATTAATCCTCTTTTGCAGAAAAAAACTATAGTATTAGTAGTATATTGTAATTATAATTCTTGTATAGAGATGGATTATAACTACTAAAAGCAAAATAAATAAACGTGACATGCGTCTACGAAGATTTGCAAACAAAATTTCACCAGTTCAAACTTATGGTTTACATTACTAGGACATATTAAAATATTATAGATCCCTTTAAATCTTATGTTGCTATATATGATTTAGTATAGAGATGATTTTATATT